TCAGAAAATGCAATTTTTATCGGTTTTTTTCTTATACAACCTTATGACATGATATGTTCATAAGACAGAAGGAAATATTTCCTATCAAAACATATAAAAACAACATTGCGTTCCATTTAAGATCACAATACTGATTACCATAGCCATAGTCATTTGACAACGCTGCAAAAATGTTCGGTCAATATAATAATTACAAGCACATGTCAAAGAAAACAATAAATATGCTGATTATGTGCCATATACTGCTAACTCCCTAAATCTTGTTGGTAATGAAGTAGTTAAGACTTCAACTCAGATCATTAATTTTTTTGGAATAGTTCAACAAATATATATTTTCTTTTCTGCTTCTTCCCACAGATGAGAGCTCTTAAAAAGTGAAAGAAAACTTAAATTTTCAATAAAAAGGTTGAGCCAAACTAGGTGGTCTTGCCATTATGATGGTGTCAGAGTGTTAAAAGATAATTATTGGAAAATTATGGCAAAATTGTAGACAGATTTAATGCAATTAGCAAAAGTACAAGGCGGAGCTATCATTTTCTAGAATGTCATACAGAAAATAAATAACCATACAAAAATTAGATATCTTTCAGCTAAAGCTTTAGCGGTAGAAGACCATGTTTGTTTTTCACCTCCTAATCAGCCAATAAGTTCTTCAATTCTTTGTAATTTAGTAGCGCAAAGTTGCGCTTCTCCTTTTAGAGTTTGAAATTTACTATTTTCTCTATCCAAAAGAGCTTCTAAATGGGCAACCTTTTCTCTTGCTTCTCGTAACAGCGCTCTTTTAGCTTCTAAAGCTGTCCTAAACATATTATAATCTGCTTCAGCTGCTGCTAGAACCAATTTTTTAGGTGCCACGACTCTAGCTGCTTTATCATATTTCGAAATGGCAATAACCCATTTGTACAAACCTTCTGCAGTGGCAGAAGCCGATCTTACTTTGTCCGGATCGAAATTTTCGTCGAATAACATCTTTTCTTTTCTTATATATCTTGTAAATATTAATTTTAGACAATTTTAGCCATCATATATCACACTCATCAAAGCCAATCCTTCATGATTTTGGTATATAATCGTAGCCGAGGTCGCTTGCGGCCGAGGCAGAATATTTAAAATCGATTTTATTTATTATATCTTCTAAATATTAATTTTAGACAATCTTGGGCATCATATATCACACTCATCAAAGCCATTCCTTCATGATCTTGGCATATAATCATAGCCGAGGTCGCTTGTGGCCGAGGCAAAATGTTTGAAATCAGTTTTGCTTATTATATCTTCTACATATTAATTTTAGACAATCTTGGCCATCATATATCACACTCATCAAGGACAATCCTTCATGATTTTGGCATATAATCATAGCCGAGGTCGCTTGCGGCCGAGGCAGAATGTTTGAAACCAGTTTTACTTATTATATCTTCCAAATATTAATTTTAGACAATCTTGGCCATCATATATCACACTCATCAAAGACAATCCTTCATGATTTTGGCATATAATCATAGCCGAGGTCGCTTGCGGCCGAGGCAGAATGTTTGAAACCAGTTTTACTTATTATATCTTCTAAATATTAATTTTAGACAATCTTGGCCATCATATATCACACTCATCAAAGACAATCCTTCATGATTTTGGCATATAATCATAGCCGAGGTCGCTTGCGGCCGAGGCAGAATGTTTGAAACCAGTTTTACTTATTATATCTTCTAAATATTAATTTTAGACAATCTTGGCCATCATATATCACACTCATCAAAGACAATCCTTCATGATTTTGGCATATAATCATAGCCGAGGTCGCTTGCGGCCGAGGCAGAATGTTTGAAACCAGTTTTACTTATTATATCTTCTAAATATTAATTTTAGACAATCTTGGCCATCATATATCACACTCATCAAAGACAATCCTTCATGATTTTGGCATATAATCATAGCCGAGGTCGCTTGCGGCCGAGGCAGAATGTTTGAAACCAGTTTTACTTATTATATCTTCTAAATATTAATTTTAGACAATCTTGGCCATCATATATCACACTCATCAAAGACAATCCTTCATGATTTTGGCATATAATCATAGCCGAGGTCGCTTGCGGCCGAGGCAGAATGTTTGAAACCAGTTTTACTTATTATATCTTCTAAATATTAATTTTAGACAATCTTGGCCATCATATATCACACTCATCAAAGACAATCCTTCATGATTTTGGCATATAATCATAGCCGAGGTCGCTTGCGGCCGAGGCAGAATGTTTGAAACCAGTTTTACTTATTATATCTTCTAAATATTAATTTTAGACAATCTTGGCCATCATATATCACACTCATCAAAGACAATCCTTCATGATTTTGGCATATAATCATAGCCGAGGTCGCTTGCGGCCGAGGCAGAATATTTAAAACCAGTTTTACTTATTATATCTTGTAAATATTAATTTTAGACAATCTTGGCCTTCATATATCACACTCAGTAAAGAAAATCTTTTATGATGGTGGTATATAATCATAGCCGAGGTCGCTTGCAGCCGAGGCAGAATGTTTGAAAGCAGTTTTGCTTATTATATCTTGTAAATATTAATTTTAGCCAATCTTGGCCATCATATATCACACTCATCAAAGACAATTCCTTATGATTTTGGCATATAATCATAGCCGAGGTCGCTTGCGGCAGAAGCAGAATGTTTGAAACTAGTTTTGCTTATTATATCTAGTAAATATTAATTTTAGACAATCTTGGCCATCATATATCACACTCATCAAGGACAATCCTTCATGATTTTGGTATATAATCATAGCCGAGGTCGCTTGCGGCCGAGGCAGAATGTTTGAAAGCAGTTTTGCTTATTATATCTTGTAAATATTAATTTTAGCCAATCTTGGCCATCATATATCACACTCATCAAAGACAATTCCTTATGATTTTGACATATAATCATAGCCGAGGTCGCTTGCGGCAGAAGCAGAATGTTTGAAACTAGTTTTGCTTATTATATCTAGTAAATATTAATTTTAGACAATCTTGGCCATCATATATCACACTCATCAAGGACAATTCTTCATGATTTTGGCATATAATCATAGCCGAGGTCGCTTGCGGCCGAGGCAGAATGTTTGAAATCAGTTTTACTTATTATATCTTTTAAATATTAATTTTAGACAACCTTGGTCATTATATATCACACTCATCAAAGACAATCCTTCATGATTTTGGCATATAATCATAGCCGTGGTCGCTTGCGGCCGAGGTAGAATATTTTAAATCGATTTTATTTATTATATCTTCTAAATATTAATTTTAGACAATTTTGACCATCATATCTCACAATCATCAAAGACAATCCTTCATGATCTTGGTATATAATGATAGCCGAGGTCGCTTGCGGCCGAGGCAGAATATTTGAAATCTATTTTATTTATTATATCTTCTAAATATTAATTTTAGACTACCTTGGTCATTATATACCACACTCATCAAAGACAATCCTTTATGATCTTGGCATATAATCGTAGTCGAGGTCGCTTGCGGCCGAGGCAGAATCTTTGAAACCAGTTTTACTTATTATATATTCCAAATATTAATTTTAGACAATCTTGGCCATCGTATATCACACTCTTCAAAGACAATCCTTCATGATTTTGGAATATAATCATAGCCGAGGTCGCTTGCGGTCGAGGCAGAATATTTAAAATCGATTTTATTTATTATATCTTCTAAATATTAATTTTAGACAATTTTGGCCATCATATATCACACTTATCAAAGACAATCTTTCATGATTTTGGCATATAATGATAGCCGAGGTCGCTTGCGGCCGAGGCAGAATATTTAAAATCGATTTTATTTATTATATTTTCTAAATATTAATTTTAGACAATTTTGTTCTTCATATATTACACTCATCAAAGACAATCCTTCATGATCTTGGCATATAATGATAGCCGAGGTCGCTCGCGGCCGAGGCAGAATATTTGGAGTCTGATTTACTTATTATACAGGGTGTATCTGAATGATCTGCCCAAACTTCAGGGGGTGATTCTTTAGGCAATTTTAAGGGTACTTTGATATATGAACCATCGGCGACTTCGGCTTCAATAAGGAACTACATCCCTCCAAAAATTGCGGAAAATTTTAATTTAATTTTTTTTCTCAAACATCATAGTTTTTTAGGGCGTTTATAAGGAAGTTCATAATTGCTTTAAGAGATAAGAATTGTAGACGGGAGCTCTCGGCGATGATTAATGCGGCATATTAAAGTGTATATGTGAGTAGCACATTTGGTGGATATTCCTCAGTCTCTACATGAGAGTGAGGTTTTTGACTTTCATTTTTACTTTGATGGCGTGGGCAGAGAATTTAAGGGTTCTATCCAAGGTAATGCCGAGGTAGTTGCAAGTTGGTGAAACAGTGATAGGAGAAGATTGAATCATTATTGTGGGAGGAGCAACGCGAATAGGGAGGAAAGGGATGAAGAATTAGGTTTTGAAAGGATTTATCAGGATACGCCATTTTTTGAGTACCATTCCTCTATGTTTTGGATGAGCGTCTGCAGCCTTAGGACAGATGATGAAATGTCTACATCATGTGCTGGCGAGATGGGAGAGCCTTGTTGAGCGGTGAAATTGAGAGAGTAGTAGGTTTTCATTTTAACCAATGAGGAGCGGTCTGAAAGAAATTTTTTAGCAGGTTAAGGAAATAAGATGGGATTTTCAACATAGCTAGCTTGTACAGTAGACCTTTGTGCCATGGAAGCGACTTGGAAGTTTGAGACAAGCACTGCCAAGGGATAAGAAACAACATCGAGCAGCTTGTTCTCAAGTGTATTTCTTTCTTGGGGATGCATATGATAATAGAGTTCTTCCAGTCTTGTGGAAAATGCTGGGTGGTAAGGAAATAGTTGTAAATTTTTCTTATGTAGCGCTTTCTTGAATGCAAATAACAACTTTTAACACTCGTATCCAAGCTAGAAACTAACAATTTCGAAGGTAGGATTGAACAAAGTACATTTGCACCTTAAATAATCGTTTATTATATTATTGTTTACATATACATTTTGTCTTAAAAGTTACTAACTTATTTGATATCCTCATTTAGAAACTAAACGAAACATTTATAATGAATACAATAATACTTGTAATTTTATTTAATAATCTTATAATTAATATTCGAAATATTTGAGTTTACTTCATTTTGTTCAACAATCATGCCATAGCCTGTTCATGCTTATAAACAGCGTGGAACGCGTTTCTTATCAAAGCATACGGAAAGCACGACTCCAATAAATCCATCGTTAAAAACGGCGATTCTTGCACGATTTGATCCAACAATAAATAAACCGATTCCCGGTTCCTAATCGCTTCTTTATCAGCTTCTTGCCCCAATCTTAACAAGGAAGAACTAGCCAAAGCTAAAAATTCTTTCATACGATCCTCAATATCGCTTTGCCCACAAATCGTGAATAAAGCCCCAAAAATATAATTAATAGCCGTCGCCATACAATGAATATTATTAACGTGCCCTTCCAAAGACGCTTTATAAAACGACGTCTCCTGTTTCGCCAATTTCGGGATTGAAACTGCCACAAAAACCATTAATAAACAAACTTGAATGTGCTCGTTTTCTTCTAATTCGGGTTGTTGGACTTTTAAAGCGTTTATTAAAGTTGGATCAACTTTGCAGGCTAAACCCGCGGCTACAGACATCTCGCTCACGACTTTAAGCGGATCACCGCTGGGCAGATGGTGCTTGAAGTCGAGTATCGAGCTGAGTAAGAACGGAATTCGCTGTTCCAAAACGTCCGTTAAAGCCGATTGGGCGAGCTGTCGAAAACAAAGAATCACCCCAACGATCGTCATTCGTTGTAATACATTATCAACGTGAGCTAACTTCTTAAATTGTTCCTTCATCACATCGGGTTTATCAAAATTAGTCCGCAACGCGACCAAAACCTCCTTATTAGCCTCTGCTAATTTTTTTAATTCTTGCACTTGACTCGCGATGTGCCACATCAAAGTCTCGCTTAATTGTTTCATTCCATACGGCCCGATTAATTCGGCCAAAGCTCGTAATTCGTTGATATCGGAGTATTCTTCCGCGTTGAAAGGAATCCCACCTTCAACGGTTAAACTTACAAAAGCCCGCTGATTCATTGAGTAACAAATATTCCCAGCGCTTACTCTGCGCAAAAAAACTTCCGAGTACCAAGTTGTGTATAACGAAGCGATGGTTTTATCGCCGTGAGTGTCTGTGGGTTGAGTTTGTTGTAATAAGCAGTTGTTGAAGACTCTTGTGATATCGATGTGGACGTAATTTTCGACTGTTTGTAAAACGTTCATGTAAGCTCTTACGCTCATTAATAACTCGGAGGGTTTCGCGATTTCGTTCGAATCCGCCGAATACATCACCATCCCCACTAAAGCTCGGGCGAATCTATTTTCTAAATGTTGAGTTAAATATTCTCTTGGCGCGAAGGTGTATTCCCAAACGTTGATGGTCCCGCAATAATTTATGGCGTAACATAACTCGGTTAGGGCCATATGCAATTTATCCATCGTTGTTAAATTCTCGCGCGTTTTTCGGTAACTTTCTTTCCCCGGCTTTTCCATTTCAACCGCATTTTTTTTGTTTTTATCTTTTTTTTTGCGGTTTAATTGGGCGGCGATTAATGGCGCGCACGATTTGGGTAATAATTTATCGCTCATTTTGCATTGTTCGTCGCAAATCGCAGTGATGATATTTTTGGCCTCTTTCGCCATCTCATCCAAAAACATGTTAACGACTGATAAGGATCTTTCGCGGATGTGGTGGCGCTCCTCGGGGCATAAATCGTGCGTGCAATGCTGGAAGTGGCTACAAATTAGGGGGAACGCGGTGATGTAGCGATTTTGAGCTGGGAATTCTAAACACATGTGGAATTGCTCTTCAAAAATCCGACTGTAAAAGCAAAAAATCGACAAATCCGAACACTCGACGGTTATTGCATCGAGATGATCGACCATTCTCGTGTGGAATTGAGCCGTGTCTAATAAATTGATTAATTCTTTGTTGTTTGTTATGTTTAAGGGGGATTTTATCGTTGACATTAACGCTTGGAGGCGAAACCAGTCTAAGCGGAACGCGGTGAAGTCGAAAATTTCGTTCTCCTCGACTTGCTTAACTGATAAGTTTGAGATGGTGTTGCATAACGATGATAAGATGATCCCCTCGTCTTCGGGGCACCCGTTCAAGTTTTGCATCAAATTTTTTAGGGCAATCGCGTCCCCCCCAGCAAGATATTGCACGTAATACCGCTGCATAACTTGCGAGTACTTCCTCACCAACACTCTTAACTCCTCCATATGAAACAACAACTCCGGTAATTGCCTATCCACCAAATCCTCAGTTGACTTCCCCTTATTTTTCTGCAACGGCGGGTTATCATTGTGCCGCAACAACCAAAGCACCTCATCCCGAGCGTAACACAACCCCATAAACACCATCAAAGCTTTCGGCCCCAACAAACCAGGTTGATCAGTTAAAATTAACCCCAACTCTTTCAAAGCAGTCCGCAAAAATTTACGCCTCTCTCTATGTTTATACCCCGCTTTTTGAATCGCGTGACTTTGGCACTCCTTAACTTCCGAAATTCTTTTCCCATAACCCTTTTGCGCGTCGAAATAAGAAATGATATAGGGGTGAATGTGAATCACTTCGTCCCGAAATAGCGGGATAACCCAACAAGACTCCAAGGCTTTCCCCCAAATTTTGAAACCGCCTTCGACCTGGATAATTTGCGGGATTAAAGCCGCCCCGAAAATGATCCAACGATCCATGGTGTCCATTGAGAGGTACTCGCAAGACATCGTTTTTTCCCCCATTAAAGGCTTAACCAAGCAAGCAGGGTTTCCAACTAAACTTAATTTTAAATCGACCCTCCAAGTATCCGCGGGGACGTTCCTACTCGAATAAATTCCCTCCAACGATTTTAGCGCCCCCATTAAAATCCTACCATGAGGAACAAACTCCTCATACAATTTTTTTAATGGAACATCATAATCAGTGATCATACTCCCTAATCTTGGAAAACTATGATCCATTTGATTATGTATCATCTCATAGGCGGAATTAAATAAGCCTAATACCGCTTTGCGATCTTCCACTTTAGATAATAAAATCATTAAGCTTACAAATGTTACAACTAAATCTAAATAATTCTTTGTTAACTCAAAATTTAAATTAATGTCTAAATTAACACCCCAAGCATCCATTGAGGTTAACAACTCGCTTACGCTATCTCTAAAATCTAATAAATCCACAAAAGTGTAATAATAAAGAGATAAAGACTTGATAATATCGTTTCGAATGTTTCCCAACGGTCCAAGTGACTTTACATCGATATTCGGGAACTTACGAACTATATGTTTAATAGAGGACTCTAAATTTTTATCTGATAAAAATCCCGGTTTTGATTTTGCATCACCACACGCTTTTTTTATATTGTAAATCCGCGTGAGCATTCCGACACCTCGATCATTGAGGATGAGCAGCTTTTCAGCCATTTTTCGTTCGGTATTCGTTTGCCGCGACATTTTTCTAACTAAAAAATTAAGATTAGGGTTAAACGAAACGATTTATGATGCAAACTTACCGCTTTTTGTACTTGTATTTATATATTTTTGATTAAAAAGGTACAACTGACGTTTATATAACCTTACTTTTGGATTGTTGACATTTTGTGACAAAATTCTCCACCCAGATATACCAGATTAAAATAACTTGGTGTTATCTAAAGTAAATTTCTGATAATGTTTAAGATTACGATTATATTCGTTTGATTCACTTTAATACTCCGATTTCCTTGTTATTTTTTATAAATGTGTGTTAAAATACTACTTTACAGGAATCTGTAATTTGTATACAGATAATGAACGTATCCTATGACATTATTAAACGAATTCACATTCCTATATTTTTATTTATGCAATATTATTAAAATATAAAACAAAATATTAACTTATTATAATTTTATTATTGTTAAATTAATTATCCAACTTGACTCGGTTACCATGGTGATTAAGATCCAAATATTGCAGGTGCTTGTCAAAATTGAAATTGAATTTAAGTTTTTTTTAAGGAAAAAGTTTTATTTAATTGGTTTAAAAGGCTGTGTTTAACTCAAAATTGGTTTATCTAGGAAATTATAAACAAGGTAAGTCGATTAATATTGATTATATATGATTATTGATATAATATGATTGTTATTTTAAGGTTATCCAACTTGACTCGGTTACCATGGTGATTAAGATCCAAATATGGCAGTTGCTTGTCAAAATGGACGTTGAATTTAAGTTTTTTAATGAAAAACATAATTAATTGGATTTAAAGGTTGTATTTAATGCAAAATGGATGAAATTGTAAGCAAGGTAAGTGGATTAAATCAAAAAATAATATTTATAGATTAATTAAAATGTGTATAAGAAACTAGACCTAGGACTAGAAATTTTTAGGTTTAGCCGGGCGTCTTAGACAAGAACTTAGAAAAATCTGAAGATGCACGGCTAAACCCGAATATTTCTAGTTCTAGTTTTACACTATCATTAGAACTAAAACTAGAAACAGTCGGGTTTAGTCGTGAAAAAAACTTTCAGTTGTCAATGTCAACTTTAATTTTATTATATTCGTAATCTTCATAAAATAAACCTTTAGAGTGAGTCCAAACTTGACGCATTTATCTTAAAAAACTAAAAAGTTCGAACGTTCACTTTTAATTTTGACATATTTGTCAACTTCATAAAAAATCCTTTAAAATGAGTCCAAACTCGACATATTTAACTTTAATGTTAATGGAAATACAATCACTTCCGGTTTGAAACGTCAACGTCNTTAATGGAACATCATAATCGGTGATCATACTCCCTAATCTTGGAAAACTATGGTCCATTTGATTATGTATCATCTCATAGGCGGAATTAAATAAGCCTAATACCGCTTTGCGGTCTTCTACCTTAGATAATAAAATCATTAAGCTTACAAACGTTACAACTAAATCTAAATAATTCTTTGTTAACTCGAAATTTAAATTAATGTCTAAATTAACACCCCAAGCGTCCATTGAGGTTAACAACTCGCTTACGCTATCTCTAAAATCTAATAAATCCACAAAAGTGTAATAATAAAGAGATAAAGACTTGATAATATCATTTCGAATGTTTCCCAACGGTCCAAGTGACTTTACATCGATATTCGGGAACTTACGAACTATATGTTTAATAGACGACTCTAAATTTTTATCTGATAAAAATCCCGGTTTTGATTTTGCATCACCACACGCTTTTTTTATATTGTAAATCCGCGTGAGCATTCCGACACCTCGATCATTGAGGATGAGCAGCTTTTCAGCCATTTTTCGTTCGGTATTCGTTTGCCACGACTTTTTTCTAACTAAAAAATTAAGATTAGGGTTAAACGAAACGATTTATGATGCAAACTTACCGCTTTTTGTACTTGTATTTATATATTTTTGATTAAAAAGGTACAACTGACGTTTATATAACCTCACTTTTGGATTGTTGACATTTTGTGACTAAATTCTCCACCCAGATATACGAGATTAAAATAACTTGGTGTTATCTAAAGTAAATTTCTGATAATGCTTAAGATTACGATTATATTCGTTTGATTCACTTTAATACTCCGGTTTCCTTGTTATTTTTTATAAATGTATGTTAAAATACTACTTTACAGGAATCTGTAATTTGTAGACAGATAATGAACGTATCCTATGACATCATTAAACGAATTCACATTCCTATATTTTTATTTATGCAATATTATTAAAATATAAAACAAAATATTAACTTATTATAATTTTATTATTGTTAAATTATCCAACTTCACTCGGTTACCATGGTGATTAAGATCCAAATATTGCAGGTGCTTGTCAAAATTGAATTTAAGTTTTTTTTTAAGGAAAAAGTTTTATTTAATTGGTTTAAAAGGCTGTGTTTAACTCAAAATTGGTTTATCTAGGAAATTATAACCAAGGTAAGTCGATTAATATTGATTATATATGATTATTGATATAATATGATTATTATTTTAAGGTTATCCAACTTGACTCGGTTACCATGGTGATTAAGATCCAAATATGGCAGGTGCTTGTCAAAATGGACGTTGAATTTAAGTTTTTTAATGAAAAACATTAATGAATTGGATGTATTTAATGCAAAATGGATGAAATTATAAGCAAGGTAAGTGGATTAAATGAAAAAAAATATTTATAGATTAATTAAAATGTGTATAAGAAACTAGACCTAGAACTAGAAATTTTTAGGTTTAGCCGGGCGTCTTAGACAAGAACTTAGAAAAATCTAAAAATGCACGGCTAAACCCGAATATTTCTAGTTCTAGATCTAGTGTTAGTTCTAGTTTTACACTATCACTAGAACTAAAACTAGAAACAGTCGGGTTTAGTCGTGAAAAAAACTTTCAGTTGTCAATGTCAACTTTAATTTTATTATTATATTCGTAATCTTCATAAAATAACCTTTAAAGTGAGGCCGAACTTGATGCATTTATCTCAAAAAACCAAAAAGTTTGAATTTTCAACTTTTAATTATGACATATTTGTCAACTTCATAAAAAATCCTTTAAAATGAGTCCAAACTCGACATATTTAACTTTAATATTAATGGAAATACAATCACTTCCGGTTTGAAACGTCAACGTCAATTTTGACATATTTGTCATCTTCATTAAAAAACGTCATTTAAAAAAAGTTTGAATAAAAAAACGTTAAACGTGAAGTTAGCAGACATGAAGATAACAATTTAATTATTAAATATTAATACCAACCTTAATTTTTAATTTTTTTTTATTGTATTTTTGTTTTTGTGATAAATTTTAAGACATTATATAAAAATTAAGAATTTGTCAAAATGAGATTGACATTTCAAACCGAAAGTTGCTTATAGCTCGAGTAATATGGGAATTAAACGTATCATGTTTAGGCTTATTTTAAAGGATTTTTCACAACAATTACAAACATGTCAAAATTGACTTTGACATTTGTAACCGGAAGTTGACCATAACTTCATTAATATTGAAGATAAATATGTCGTGTTTGTACTCATTTTAAAGGATTTTTAATGAAGATTACAAATATGTCAAAATTGAGGTTGACATTTTAAATCTGAAGTTAGTTATCATATAATAGACAAATGGACAACTTCATGGTGTTCTTTCATGATGTATTATTTATTAAAAAAACCTTTAAAATGAGTCTAAACATGACGCACTTATCTCAAAAAACAAAAAAGTTTGAATAAAAAAACGTTAAACCCGAAGTTAGCAACAATGAAGATAGCAATTTAATTATTAAATATTAATACCAACCTTAATTTTTAATTTTTTTTATTGTATTTTTGTTTTTGTGATAAATTTTAAGACATTTTATAAAAATTAAGAATTTGTCAAAATGAGATTGACATTTCAAACCGAAAGTTGCTTATAGCTCGAGTAATATGGGAATTAAACGTATCATGTTTAGGCTTATTTTAAAGGATTTTTCACAACAATTACAAACATGTCAAAATTGACTTTGACATTTGTAACCGGAAGTTGACCATAACTTCATTAATATTGAAGATAAATATGTCGTGTTTGTACTCATTTTAAAGGATTTTTAATGAAGATTACAAATATGTCAAAATTGAGGTTGACATTTTAAATCTGAAGTTAGTTATCATATAAAAGATCTTTTCAAAAATTTTCTTATACAGGGTGTCACACAAAAAACGCACCAAGCTGTAACTCTGTCATTTGTATTCTGATTTTCATGAGCGAAGTATCAAATGAAATGGTTTAATGAATGCTATGATTCATGCTACAAATAAATTTTTTCCAAGGCCATCTTCAATTTCAGGCGATTATTAACTTTTGTTTTTCAAATTGCTCGGTATGGTACAGGTGTCTTTTTTCTGCTAAAATTACCTTTAAAATGGATGTATTGTACACCAATGGATTCGGAAAAACAATCTCTATCCTATATCCTATATGAAAAGTAAAAATTAATAATTGGTATATTTATTGGTTTTAAAATATTCCACCAACCTTCTTGCTATTAATCTTTCAAATATCTTGGAGGTAACGGGCAAAATTGATATGAGTCTATAATTGTTATAGTCCGTTTTATCACTCTTCTTATTTATGTAATGGCAGGACTCTCGCTGTTTTGAACTCTGAAAGAAAAATTCAATCGCTGACACATTTATTGAACATAATATTAAGCCATATGTGTCAGCTGTGTCGTTGTTCTTAATTTGATCAACTGTTGTTGTTATTGGTCTGAAAAAAAAAGAATTTACGTTTGTCACATTTCAGTTTTTGAGATTTTGACATTTTACAAAGTGTTTCCTGGGAAAGTGTCATTCCTGGGATTTGGAAACTCTTATAGTTGTAAATAAAGCCCTCAAAGTTCTTTCCATGTTCATCAATTTAGTGTTCTTGAACTGTTTTATTTTTGTTGTTCTTGACTTGAAAATATATTCAGCCATAATTAAAAAGGCTTACATGAATAGGAACTCGTGTATGCCGTAGAGATTCAAAGTTGACTGTACTTATATACAGGTGTACAAAAAGTTACGGTATAAGCTCCGCCCATCCCTGTGACATCAAGGCTTAGGTTGTCTATTCCATAATGACGCCATAAATTGGTTGTTGCTATGTCAAATCTTTTTAAATAAAAATTTTAATATCTCGAAAACTATGCAGTTTAAAGCATTAAAACTTTATGGCCTTTATAGTCAAAAGGAATCTAAAAACCTTAAAATATACAGGCTGTTCCATTTAAAAAACACACTCACCATGTCATAACTCAGACTGTTGTCAAGATTTTTATTTTATTTCTACGCCAAGATATGCGGAAAATTGTTTCAAATAACTTTTTTTTAATATAAGTTGAAGTTTAGGTTGCAGAACCATTATTCCATACTTTTTGTACACCCTATATGTAAGCAATTTGCCATACTAGAAAAAGCATTTCCTTTGTTTAGTCATAACATTTTAAGCAATTGAAAAAATTACTTCTAATTTAATATTCTATTAAAATTATTAATAATTCTACTTATTCCAAAAATATGTTGCCTTTAATAACAATTTCTTTTTACCCGGTAAACAAGAAACATCTGTGAAACATTTTAATTTTAACATACAGTGAATTAAATGAAACATCTTTGAACTACGTTTCAAATACGTGACAGATACTTTGACTTTTACGAAACGTATCTAAAGATATGTATCAAATACATTTCAGTAGGAATATTTATGAAATATCATTAAAATATGTAGCATAATCATTTTATTTGGAACATTTCTTTACAAATGTGTCTGGAACATCTTGATCGCGGCCAGCGTCTTGTTCTATTGTGTGTTTTGTTCTGTTCTCAGTTCGAATTGTTCGAATATAGATTTAGAATGGCACAAGTTTTGTATAAGTTTTTTTATACAGGGTGTCTCAGCGAGACTGGTGGAGACGTTTCTGGGGTTCTGACCAAAATAAAAATTTAAAAATTTAGATTTAAATATTATCAATTGCATCCTCTTCGACTAAAATATTTTCAAATTTCTAACACTTCCGATTATTCCGAAAGTCGCCACCTACTTTATTTTTTAAATGGAACACCCTGTATATTTGGATTTTTTTAAATGACACCACCCATAAAGATTTTCATTCTGTGCAATTTGAAATTTACAGAATATCTAAAAAAAAACTGATTTTTGTAAGGCCTAAACAATTTTCTCGTCATATTTGCTTCTATAAACGATGAGGAATGCGATGAAATTAAAATTAAATCGATGGAAAGTTTTGAACAACTAAAATTTTGATAAATTCTAAAAAAACTTAATTTTTGGGAGAAATATAAAGTGGCATAAAAAATATTCTTGCTATATTTGCTACTATAGATGATGAGAAATGCGATGAAGTTGAAATTAGATTTATGGAAAGTTCTGTTCAGCTTGAAATTTGCAAAATATCTGGAAAACTTCATTTTTGGAAGAAATTTAAAATGGCATAAAGAATTTGATTGCCATATTTAGTGCTATACATGATGATAAATGCGATGAAGATGAAACTAAATTGATTGAAAATTGTGATCAGCTCGAAATTTACAACAATTTTAGAAAAATTGGTTTTGAAAAAGAATGAGAAATGTCACAAATGCTAAATATTCCATATTAAACATGATCAGGAATGCGATGTCCTTAAAATTTAATTAATAAAAAATTCTGTGCAATTCGAAATTTACAGAATATCTAAAAAAAACTGATTTTTTATAAGGCCTAAACAATTTTCTCGTCATATTTGTTTCTATAAACGATGAGGAATGCGATGAAATTAAAATTAAATCGATGGAAAGTTTTGAACAACTAAAATTTTGATAAATTCTAAAAAAACTTAATTTTTGGGAGAAATATAAAGTGGCATAAAGAATATTCTTGCTATATTTGCTACTATAGATGATGAGAAATGCGATGAAGTTGAAATTAGATTGATGGAAAGTTCTGTTCAGCTCGAAATTTGCAAAATATCTAGAAAACTTCATTTTTGGAAGAAATTTTATATGGCATAAAGAATTTGATTGCCATATTTAAAGCTATACATGATGATAAATGCGATTAAGATGAAATTAAATTGATTGAAAGTTGTGATCAGCTCGAAATTTGCAACAATTTTAGAAAAATTGGTTTTGCAAAAGAATGAGAAATGTCAAAAATGCTAAATATTCTATATTAAACATGATGAGGAATGCGATGTCCTTAAAATTCGATTAATAAAAAATTCTGCGCAATTCGAAATTTACAGAATATCTAAAAAAAACTGATTTTTGTAAGGTCTAAACAATTTTCTCGTCACATTTGTTTCTATAAACGATGAGGAATGCGATGAAATTAAAATTAAATCGATGGAAAGTTTTGAACAACTAAAATTTTGCTAAATTCTAAATAAACTTAATTTTTGGGAGAAATATAAAGTTGCATAAAGAATATTCTTGCTATATTTGCTATTATAAATGATGTCTTGTCTTGTGATTGCATCTTGCCTTTAGATGTCTAGCTTCCCTTGGAGTAAGTACGTGTTATATGTTTTTCTTTATTTCTTCTGTAACCTTCATAACCTTTACCTCGAACTCTTTAATTTTGTTTCTAGCTTGTCTCCTCGCTTCAAATGTGTCCTTTTCTTTAAAATGATTTAGCCTTCCTCATCACTACTTTCTGGCTCAAAATCAGAATCGTTTTCTGCATTTTTTATTTGTTTATATTTTTTACCCATCTCTGTGCCTCCTCTAGAATCAGAATAAGGATCTTCCGATTGTTTTTGTTCTTCTTTGCCCTCTATTGCCTCTTTGACGTTCTCGAACTTTTTACCGACTTCATCCTCTGTTTCTTCGTTGTTTTCTATGATACAAGGATCTTCGACAGATCCAAAATCAGTGTCTCTTCCTGCGTTCTCCATCTCCTCTGGAACGTGAATGAGCACAAAATGTGGACTTCTTCGAGTTCTTCAAGTCCGATCTGTAGTTTCTACCTCATTCGATTTTTCCAAGACCGTGTCATTCGTGTGCAGGTATCTATCATTATTACCTGGCTCCTCTACGTAAATAATGCCATTACACGTTTCTATTTGAATTGTCTTCTTTTTTTCTTCTATCAGATTGGTGTATTCCAATGGTTGTGGTTGTGGAACTGCATCTTCACTTTTCTGCGACATATTATCATTCACTCTATCAAGCGTGCCATCGGAGCTAACTACATAATTTCCAGTAACTATTTTTGGTGGATCTGGTCGAGATAAACAGTTCCTTTTGGCACTGTTATTCATCTGCACCAGGTTCATTATTTTACGTGTCCTTGAAGACATTTTTCCTGGAAATAAAATACTACATTCAAGCATAAAATTTGGCTAAAAATATTTATACACAGGATACTCTGCATGAAAAACCACTCCTTCTTTATCATTTCAAGGAATGTGAAATGAAATACTGTGACTATTCTGATTTGTTCTAAAATCTGACTGGTATCAAAACAATGTCGAAATGATTAAAAAGAAATAAATGGTTCTACCAGCGAGAATTCTTGAGAGTAAAAGTATTTACCCCTTTTTGTTTATTTCTACTAATGGGTCTATATTTTCACAAATCGTCTTATAACACAAAAATAAACTATTTATTATAAAAATGATACATACCTTTATAACGGCTTCTTCGATTCTAAACTCACTTCAAGCACTAATTTAGCTTTCGAATTTTAAGAAAATTGCAAACAACCGTTGTAAATAAACTGTTTAACCGCCGTAGAATTGGATTTAAAGGTTAGGAAATACAACCGATGTGCATTCAGTCTTGCGAAAATATAAATCCAATGTACTAAAGAACGTACATCGGAGGTATTGAACGCCTGGTAAATAATACCAATGTTGCTTAATTGCACATTGGGTATATTTCTGTCATTGTAACCCTGCAAACCCATCGAAATTTGGACATCCTGTACACAGTGTATACAAGTGTCTCACGTAACTTTTTTAGGGTCCACTATTCGTACAGTTTTGAAATTTTGGTAGCATGGGTTGTTCATTCGGAACTTTCAATCTAGAATATTTTCAAGATGGCTGCTACTTCTGGTCTATCGGAAGTAGACCATAACCTCGTTTACTACAGTTTTTATTATACCTTTTAATTGTCTTTAATTGTTTTTTAATAGTCAACATATTTTTTTATGTACAATTAAAAAGTGTAATAAAAACTGTAGCATTCCATTTAAAGTAACGAAGTTATGGTCTACTTCCGGTGGACCGAAAGTGGCAGCCATCTTGAAAATGTTTTAGATCGAAAGTTCCGAATGAACAACCTATGCTACCAAAACTTCAAACCTCTATGAATAGTGGAACCTTAAAAAGTTTTAACGAACCAGTTATGTGAGACACCCTGTATATATTATAGTAACTCGTCTAATGCTAGAAAAATCTAAATTCCGCCAAAAATACCAAATTACGTGATTTATGTGCAAATAACGTTCATCAAAATTACGGAATTTAGATTTTTCTAGCATTAGACGAGTTAATTAGAATAAAACGGAACTCTCATGGCACACTTAAATGGAAAATTAAACATTATATTCTAAAAAATATTGACGTTTGAAATGTCACTTATGTGGTACCATTGGATTCAGAAAATTATTCAAAAATGTAATAATATACAGGATGTTCCATTTAAAAATCTAAAGTTAGTGTCACTTCCGGAATTGAAAAAAAAAATATTTGTATGTCAAAAAGTGTCTCTTATCATGTGTACATATAGGATGTCCCAAATTTGAAACAATTATCTTCAAAACTAAAAGACATACGGGGCGTGTACCATGATCCTGTTACACCCGGTATAAGTATATATTACTTATTGTATTATATTGAAATAAATGTACCATATTTTCGGAGTTACATTAGCTTAAACATCCAACCCAACCCACAACAAAACCTTTGTTTCGCTTTTATTTTCAAATATTTGTTTCAAAATCTTAAATTTTGTTTTAAACACTGTTTATAGATGAAATAAATCCTAGCTAACCATTAAGGAGATATTATAATGGTATTAAATTATTAACCTTAACCTTAAGTTATTAACCTTCCCCTCGCATTTTACCAGCCTTGAGACTAGCAGAAATATTACTGACATGGCCAACAAGACCACTGGAATCAAAACCGCTTTATTAGTGCTTTTCCTCAAATTTAGTAAAGGAACACCTGAAATTATCATTAAGAAGAAGAGCTGAAAATGTCCAATTTGTTAAAAGGTCGCAAATTCAGAAGATATTAAAACACAACAAGATACATCCACACAAGCCAGTTTTTAATCATGTTTTGGAAGTCGACGATGAAACAAAACACATATGTGGAAGAGTTTTGCACTTTTTAAGAACGTTTTGGAGTCTAACCAGAGCAATTCTAGACTTTTGTTTATAGCATGGCATCATTTTAGTGCGATTTTTGACATTTTCTTGAAATTTAGACTCGTCCAGAATAGTTCCCAGTATTATAACTAAAGATAAATATAATGGAAATGTTACTTACATGCAGTCGGGATCTTCAAATATCAAGTACCACATCATTTTATGGGGAAGAGTTTTGTACTCTTCAAAAACGTTTTGAAGTCTAACCAGAGCAATTCTAGACTTTTGTTTACAGCATGGCATCTTTCTTCATTTTTTGGCATTTTCTTGAAATTCAGGAAAGTTCCTGGTATTTGGTGATGATTTTACGTTTTTCCAGTATCATGGCAAAACTTCTTCATGCAATTTAGAATCATCTCAGTATATTTACCGACTTTGTGTTACCGTTTTGAATTCCATTAACTTAATTTCTGAAATGTTTGTGATGTTTAGACTTTGACTCAACCAATTTCAAACTTTTTTTGGTGTTAGGTCGTTGTAGGTCTAGATTAGCTTTTTTAGTCTGAAGTTTAACTGGAAATTAAATGATCACAAATAAATAAAAGTAGACCGATTTTTTTGAAAATTGGTATTGGAGTAACTTATTTCCTTATCTTTTCAAATAAATGTACTTTACTCTTATACCATTTAAAGTTTTTTCAATTTTCTGAACACCGAGAATAAAATAATGACTTGTATGTTGCAAAAACGTTTCAATGAAACATAAAAAGGGCCGGACATTAGCAGTTTCAGACACGTTTCAACTGTGTTTCAGAAATATGTCGAAGAAACGTTTCATGTTTCAATAATATGTATCAGAAATGTTTCTGAAACGCAAATTTATTTACTGGGTATTGACTTTATTGAATGAAGAGAACTTAAAGGGGATAATTTTAATACTTAAATAATAAAAATTTAATGAATTCAGAAAGATTAGATTTTTTTAGGTTATAAAGATTAATTTATTTAAAATAAATGTAAAATCGTTCTACTTTGAAACAAATCCTTATCAACATCAACCTAATTTTTTTATAAAAACCACAAAGATTGCGTCATCGCTCCACAAACACCAAGATTTTAGCTCATTTTATTTCTTAATCTAAACGTAACAACATCTTTTTCATAAAAATGTTTTTTTATTTCAAATTAATATTAATTCTAACGATTATTACACCTTTCGTTATCACTCAAGAAAAACCCGGAAGTTGTCCCAACAATTTAAACGTTAAAATATGTTCATCTTTGTGTACTTCCGATTTTGGATGTAGCGGGAACTCGAAATGTTGCAAAACTTTGTGTGGGGGATCGATTTGTGTGTCTCCTATTGGGAATGAATCGCAAAACGGAGGTAGGAAATTAATAAAAAATATTGTAAAGGTATAATTAATTTTTTATTGCAGAAAAATTCGGTTCTTGCCCAATTCCGAGTGGTCCGTGGGTGTGTTCAAGTAGGTGTGGTTCGGATTCGGATTGTAGAGGAAAAAAGAAATGTTGTAAAAATAGGTGTGGTGCTATGGCATGTTTTAACCCTGATTTGCCTCAAATCCAAGCCCCACCTTTATAAAATTATTTCATTTTGTACTTTTTATACCGGATTTGCGCAGAATGTATCACAAGGTCCATTACAGCATTTTTGTCGCCCCGCACACTCAAAATCACTGGAACATCTCACTAAGCAAGTTGAAACGACATCAGATCCTGGTCTCTGAGGGCAATTTCCCGGTTTTTGGGCGTTCAAAACACTAAAAGAAACCGTTAGCAATAAAAGCGTGGTTAAAAATAATTTGTTTTTCATCTTGATTTGTTTAAAAATTTCCATACACTGTTTTAATTTGAAATGGTTTGATTATATATACAAAGAAGAACAAAGAAAAAATCGCCTAGAAACGATTTCTAATGTTACATAAGCACTTTTGAAAAGTTATTGATGATTCTTCTCCCATTCAAGCCAACTTCCTTTATAATTTTTTACACTTAAATTAAAATGCGATTAATAAATAAAAATCGTAATTAATTAATTTTTTACTTTTTAAATCCTAATTTCCAAGCGATTTCTTGTGCCAATCCAGCCCTTCTTCCCGATCTGCATGTAAAAACAATAGGAGTCTCCAAATCCAAGTCCCTAATTCCTTTTTTTAGATTGTTGTTTAAAACATCTTCAATTAAATTAACTGTTAACGGAAAAAAAAATATTTTAATTAATAATTCTTTATTTTTACCTTTATAGTACATACAGGGTGTCCCGAGTTGCTTTGATCCATAGCCGAATTATGATTAATTTTTTTCAAAGAAAAATTGAATCGAATCATATTGTAGATATTTTAAAATTAGTTTCAGTAATGGCGGACTTCCGCTTCTATCAGAAATGGATATCAACTTTGATACTTTAAATGGAACGCGTTTTTGGATTCTTTGTGAAATTTTAATGGTACTTTGTGATTTTTGAAAAAAATGACATTTGCACCGTCTTATAAATTTGGCAATAATTGTCCAAACTGTGAAAGCTAGAAAGATTTGGTTTTGTAAAATTGAAAACAACGACGTATTATACCGATACATCGATGTTTAAAAAAAATATTCAGTGGCTGAATTTTTATTATAAGAATTATCATAATAATCAATACTATTTGGACCGCGTTCGGCATCACTTGACTAAGCGACAAATAATAATAATAATAATAACTTTATTATCACAAATTTAATCACTAAAACTAGAGACAAAATGATGAAAAACTTTTGAAGAAAATAATCTAGAGTCTGATTTTGTACTTTTAAACTGGTTTTTATTTTATATAGAATTTAAGTATAACCAGTTTCGGCCCTTGGCCATCTTCAGAGACTCTACAAATAGATTAACATCTCTCATCTTATCCATTTTACAAACCAATTTCTTAATATTTCTTTTTGTTTTATTAAATCAATGTCGAAATCAGATTATTAGTTACTAGTTTACAAAATTAAAGTTTAAAAAGTTGTAAAATGAAACTAAGAATCAAGAATCATCATTTGGTTTAAAAATCGACGACTTTTTTTAATCAATGACCCAAAAAAATACATTAAAAATATAAAGAAAGCGCGGAAAAGTGACTAACACTAGATTAACTTCAGTTATAAAACTTCTATTACATAATAATTAACTTCAGGTTTAAAATGTCAACCTCACTTTTGACATATTTGTAATCTTCATTAAAAATCCTTTAAAATGAGTGTAAACACGACATATTTATCTTTAATATTAATGAAGTTAGGGTCAACTTCCGGTTAGAAATGTCAACGTCAATTTTGACATATTTGTAATCGTCGTGAAAAAAATCCTTTAAAATGAGTCCAAACATGTTATATTTAATTCCAATATTAATCGAGATATAAGCAATTTCCGCTTGGAAATGTCAATGTCATTTTGACATATTCATAATTTTTATAAAATGTCTTAATATTTGTCACAAAAACAAAAGTATAATAAAAAAAAAAATAAAAATAAGGTTGGTATTAACATTTAAAAATTAAATTGCTATCTTCATTGTTGCCAACTTCAGGTTTAATATTTTTTATTTTAACTTTTTTGTTTTTTGAGATAAATGCGTCATGTTTTGACAAATTTTAAAGGTTTTTTTAATAAAGAATACATCATGAAAGTACACCATGAAGTTGTCCATTTGTCTATTATATGACAACTACCTTCAGGTGTAAAATGTCAACGTCAATTTTGACATATTTGTAATCTTCATTGAAAATCCTTTAAAATGAGTACAAACACGACATATTTATCTCCAGTATTAATGATGTTATGGTCCACTTCCGGTTAGAAATGTCAACGTCAATTTTGACATATTTGTAATTGTCGTGAAAAATCCTTTAAAATAAGCCCAAACATGATACGTTTAATTCCAATATTACTCGAGATATAAGCAACTTCCGGTTTGAAATGTCAATGTCATTTGGACATATTCTTAATTTTTATAAAATGTCTTAATATTTGTCACAAAAACAAAAATATTAAAAAAAAAATAAAAATTAAAGTTGTTATTAATATTTAAAAATTAAATTGCTATCTTTAATGTTGCTAACTTCGGGTTTAACGTTTTTTATTCTAACTTTTTTGTTATTTAAGATAAGTGCGTCAAGTTTGGACTCATTTTAAAGATTTTTTTAATGAAAATGAATAATATGTCAAAATTGACGTTGATGTTTCAAACCGGAAGTCATTGTATTTCCATTAATATTAGATATGTCGAGTTTGGGCTCATTTTAAAGGATTTTTTATGAAGTTGACAAATATGTCAAAATTAAAAGTTGAAAGTTCGAACTTTTTGGTTTTTTGATATAAATGCGTCATGTTTGGACTCATTTTAAAGGTTTTTTAATAAATACATCATGAAAAAACACCATGAAGTTGTCCATTTGTCTATTATATGATAACTAACTTCAGATTTAAAATGTCAACCTCAATTTTGACATATTTGTAATCTTCATTAAAAATCCTTTAAAATGAGTACAAACACGACATATTTATCTTCAATATTAATGAAGTTATGGTCAACTTCCGGTTAGAAATGTCAACGTCAATTTTGACATATTTGTAATTGTCGTGAAAAATCCTTTAAAATAAGCCCAAACATGATACGTTTAATTCCAATATTACTCGAGATATAAGCAACTTCCTGTTTGAAATGTCAATGTCATTTTGACATATTCTTAATTTTTATAAAATGTCTTAATATTTGTCACAAAAACAAAAGTATAATCAAAAAAATATAAAAAAATAAGGTTGGTATTAATATTTAAAAATTAAATTGCTATCTTCATTGTTGCTAACTTCGGGTTTAACGTTTTTTTATTCAAACTTTTTTGTTTTTTGAGATAAGTGGGTCGTGTTTGGACTCATTTTAAAGGTTTTTTAATGAAGATGACAAATATGTCAAAATTGACGTTGACGTTTCAAACCGGAAGTCATTACATTTCCATTAATATTAAAGTTAAATATGTCGAGTTTGGACTCATTTTAAAGGATTTTTTATGAGGTTGACAAATATGTCAAAATTAAAAGTTCGAATTTTTTGGTTTTTTGAAATAAATGTGTCAAGTTTGGACTCACTTTAAAGGTAATAATAAAATTAAAGTTGACATTGACAACTGAAAGTTTTTTTCACGACTAAACCCGAATGTTTCTAGTTCTCGTTCTAGTTTTAAATTTGGCTAAACTTCTACAAAATTGTCTAAAATATTCAAAACGTATTTAAAATTATCAAAATTTCACAAAATGTTACTGAAATTATGTATAAAATTATTTAATAGCGTTCAATTTGTCTAAACTTGTTTAAAACCGTCTATTTTAGACGATCAAAATGTGGCTAATATTATCAAAACTTGGCCAAACTTGTACAAAATTGTCTAAATTATTTATATCTAAAATAATCAAAATATTACTGAAATTATGTATTATTTAAAAGCGCAAAATTTATCTATAATTTAAGTACAAAGGCTTTCACTGCCGGTGTGAATTAAACTAAGATTAGAACTAAAACTAGAACTAACACTAGAAACTTTTGGGTTTTGCCGTGCGTCTTTTAATAAAAGGTTTGACGTTTCGGATTTCTTCCCTTTCTTCACAAAGAATCCAAAAATGCAATAATATACAGAATGTTCCATATAAAATAGTAAAGTTGATATCCATTTCTGACAGAAACGGAAATCTGTCATTACTGAAATTAATTTTAAAATATGTACAATATGATTCGATTCAACTTGTATCTGAAACATTTTTTGAAAAACTCAATCATAATTCGGGTATGACCCGAGGTAACTTAGGCGGGACACCTGTATATAGATTATACTATGGTAAATGTATAATTGTAATTATCAGGGCACGGAACTATTGTAACAAAACAATACGATTTCCCCCCTCCACTAGTTCTCAGCGGCGTTCATTGAGAAAATCTTGATTAAAAGAACAGCATACTGTTCAGTGGGAAATTAAAATTTCAAGTTAGAAAAAAGTTGTGTTAACAAAAATTGTTCCTGAAACAATTCTAAACAAACTTTGTCAAC